TTTAATGGTCTTTGCTTCCATTTAACTTCTCCATCTCCTGGCCAGAATCTGATGTTTCGCTGGAATTTCTAGCATCGGAAGGTCTCTGTGTGAAAACACATGGCAGTTTAGCTTCAGGTTAGCATACTGAGGTAAACACATACAGTTTCAAGTTTAAAACTGAGAAAGTGAGGAAGGCAGATTCATTCAAATAACATGAAAACATTTTGAACTCAAAGCTCTTTTGCATGTTTTTTTAAATGAATTTAAAATAAATAAAATAATGATAATGATATAACAACAAAAGAACAATAAATGAACTTACCCTTTTCTTTCTTTTTTTTACAGCATAAACAATTGGAGCAATAAGAAAAATGGCTAGGCCTATACTAACGCAGATAATTACGTAGACTTTCATTCCCAAACCTGTACGGAAAGAAAGGAGGATCAATTCTCTTTAAATGACGTCTCAAGTGCTATGACCACATTCAACACATTTGTGACCCTGGACCACAAACCCAGTCTTAAGTCGCTGGGGTATATTTGTAGCAATAGCCACAAAAACACTGTGTGGGTCAAAATTATAGATTTTTCTTTTATGCCAAAATCATTAGGACATTAAATAAAGATCATGTTCCATGAAGATATTTTGTAAACTTCCTACCATAAATATATAAAAACGTAATTTTTGATTAGCAATATGCTATATGGCTAAGAACTTCATTTGGACAACTTTAAAGGCGATTTTCTCAATATTTCGATTTTTTTGCACCCTCAGATTCCAGATTTTCAAATAGTTGTATCTCGGCCAAATATTGTCCTATCCTAACAAACCACACATCAATGGAAAGCTTATTTATTCAGCTTTCAGATGATGTATAAATCTAAATTTCAAAAATGTGACCGGTTTTGTGGTCCAGGGTCACATTTTTGTCTGCTTCATAGTTTTTTTCTTTTGTGTCTGTTTGATTGATTAGTAGATACACAAATTTGAAACATTCTAGATAGTAGAAATGTTGATATACCTCTTGATTGGACTTTGGTTTGTGTGATGTATCTGTACTGGGCTGTAGCACTTTCACATGTGTATGTTCCCAGTTGCTCTTGATTAAGATGAGAGAGTGTAATGCTTCCATTTTCTGGATGAAAGGTAACTTTATCCCTCCACTGCTCAGAGATGTTTTTCATAGAGGTTTTGCCGTCATAACTCAGGATGGTGGTGGAAAAACTCAAGATGAGAGTGTAGTTGAAGTCCTTAGTGACTGGACATTTGAAAATGAACTCATTCTTGGAGAGTTCTGAAGCAGCTAAATAAAAACAGTTAAATTATGCATTAAAAATAGGAATTTGACCAAAAATCTCTGTACTTCAAAATGTAACTTTATAATCATTTAAAATGTATACGTTTTCTCTTACAGAACATCATATATATATTCTGTGACACTGTAACAAAAAAAAAATCTGTGAATTTACCTTGTTGTTTCAAACTAGCTGTATAGCTGTATGTATTAGTAGTTACCGAGCAGTTATATGTGTAGGTATCTGTGATGGCATCCACTTTCAGTTGACTTGTCACTGTAAACAGGTTATCTTCTGCTTGGCTGACATTGTTCAGCGACTCCTTTGCTGGAGGGTCTGAGGACCACAAGACTTTTGGTTCTGGATAAACTCCACTGGTGCTGCAGATGACTGTATCACCTTTTAATGTGATGTTCACTGATTTAGCTGGAGCTAAAAATATAAACATATAGCAAAACAGTTATAACAATTATTTTGTGATGTTTTCTCAACAACAAAAAAGAAGGAATAGATGATTTTAGATCATATTGGTGCTGCAATCGAGTCGTCTTCCTACGCTCTCAGAATACTTAAATATTTGTATATGCATATTTTCTTATAAAATTTTATTTAATTATGTCAATCGCAATGCGTCACGGGCAGTGTCGGTATATTACTTACAAATTGTAGTCGATTACTGATTCCAAATTACATGACAAAAATAATATAATTCATTACATTACACATTTTAGGTAATATAATCAGACTACTTTTTGATTACTTTTAGATTACTAAAACTAACTTGTTACTAACTTGTTTATTACATTGATTTAAATAGTATTGTACAATATTGATATAAAATACAAAGAGAATTCCATTCATTGCTATTAGTAGCATGAAGTGCATTAAATGTTGCATAATGTTTTCTGAAACTGGAGTTCATGAAGGAAATGCAAGGAGTTTGTGAATTTAATGAAAAGCTAATAATTAATTGAATCCTAATTTTTTTTAAATGAAAATAAATCTCTTTAAAATAACAACAATCAAAATAAAACACTTACTAAAAAAGATTAAATATTTGTTTACCTGCATGTCATGTGACCATTATCCAACCTCAGAGAAGCCTGAACATGCAAATGTGTTATTTAATAATTAACTGACTACCTTAAAATTTCAGGGCTACTTCAAGTAAATATATTAGGTGAAAGAGGTTCAGCTGAAAAAAAAGTTTGGGAATCCCTGCATTAAATCTGAATAAGAAATAATGCAAATTTGTTAGTTCTTAATTTTTGGAATCTGATTACGTAATTACATATACAATTAGTTACTACCCAGCACTGTTCACAGGATTGTAGTTCTTTCACTCACTTAAACTGTCAAATAGTTTTGTACCTTTATCTTTTTGTCCAATTTTCATATAAATTTGGCCTTAAATAAAAATGTGTAATGATGTGATTCACCTCGTAGCTGCTTAGCTTGGTTTATGGCTTATACCCCTGCTTTCACAGACAAGATTTAAGGCTAGTCCCAGACTAAAATGCATGTCTGAGCTGTTTTAACTGAAATAAACTTGCACTGACATTTCTTAAAATATGTCAGTACCATTGATTTGTCTCAAGATGCACACCACATGTTTTTTTTTCTAAGGCATGAATGTCCTAATTGAACTATGGCCTAATCCTGGCTTAATCTAAGCCCTGTCTGTGAAACTAGGCCTTAGTGTTTTAATAAAGACTTTTAAAAAATGAATGGGAAAAAATACTTCCGTAACCAAGACTGGGCGAGCACTAATGCACTCTATTCTGTGATTGACCAATCAGAATCAAGCAATCTAGAAGGCAGCATTACACATGAAACAAGTGATGAAAGAGAAACTTCTAAGCAACACAATTTCCTCTGGGCAGTCAAAGATCTTGTTTTTTTTTTAAAGAGTTTCAGAAATCCTCGTTCTCACCTTTCACTGACACAACCACATACTTCTCATCATTAGTTTTTTCATCGGCAGCGTAGCACCTGTATCTGCCTTCATCTTGGACCCTTATGTTTCTTATCAAGAGTGATACATTTCCATTTTTAATTTCAGATTCCGACAACAGGGATGTTCTTCCCTTGTAGTTCTTGTGCTGATGTCCCAGCTGGTCCTGATTGTGGTAGAATGAATGCACTACTTTTTTATCCAAATACCAGTGGATGATATCAAGGTTGGTGGAAGTGCAAGGTAACATACATTCCTCAGAATAGATACAGGTGACCTGAGTGTCTGTAAAAACACCAAATTACAATGTGAAAAACAACACATACACATCCAGGGTCATATTAAGACTACAGGTGGGCCTACTGTATATTCAGCCAGCATTCACGATTCCTGTACAGTCATGTGTGTTGTAAGTCCTTTTATGAAAATGAAATCACAAATAAAATGACCTCCATGAGGCCATTGAGAAATGCGTTGAAACAGCTTTTGCAAAATACCTTCGGGTTTAATAGAACAAGTGATTCCAACAAGTCTGCAATCATTTACTTGTGTATCAAAGGTCAAATCTGATTCAGCTGATTGTGGTTTAAATAGTCAAAACTGATACTGACTCGTACTGTTCTTGATGTGGGATAAAAGCAAAACATTTTTATTTTATTTTATATATATATATATTTATATATATACACACACACACACACAAAATAAAAAATGGTATGTATATATAAACAATTTTTATTATATATATATATATATATATATATATACACACACACATATATATACATATATATATATATATATATACATATATTCATACAGTATTATTAAATCTGAGAAAACTATTATATTGAACTCCGTAAGAAACATAAAAAAACAGTTCAAGCATTGACATTAATGTAATATACAGTTAAACATTTTTACAATTAAAGTTACAATTAATCATTTAATTACAAATACATTTGTGATTGTCATCTCTTTTAAAAAGCCACTGAGGTGCTAATGTGACTTAATGAGTTAAGAGTTTTTAAGGCACATATCAGACATGTAAATAAATGTCAGTAGATATTTTGATTTCTTACCTCCTAAGGTTACAGGCAGAATCCACAGCAAGAAAAACAGCTTCATAGTCACATAGTTTAAACTAATCGAAGGTAATACGGCTTTCTACCTACTACTTTCTATTTTGATTCCTTCACATAGCAACACACCCTCTGTGGAGAACAGGCTTCAGGAGTTGCCACACTGGTCTTAGAACCCTCCTCCAAACTTTGTTACTCTTCATCTCATTTCATGAATATTAGTGTGTAAAATAGGCCTATACATGTTGTATTTTATAAATGGCATAAATGGCAGGGAATCACAGAAACAAATCACCCTTTTTATATATGGAATTACAGATTTTAATTGTACATACACACAGTAGGATATTGATAGGTGTTTGTGAGATGACAATTGTGCAAAAGACATCCATGTCGTGATTGTAAATAATGTGCTGCTTCCAACTGGCTTTTAGAGGCCATGTAATTCTTTTACTTTGACTGGTGTATAGAGTCAGACTCTGTTCTGTGTCTATGTGTGTTTCCTTCCCCCACGTGCAACATTGTTATGTTTATTTCCTTATTTGCTCTTCCTGTTCCTGTCCTGATTGTGTTATCATTTGTTCCAGGTGTTCCCCGTTCTGTTCCATTGTTCCCAGCTGTGTCCCATTAGTTTCAGTGTATTTAAAGTGTTTTCTGACCCTCGTTTCCTGTCTGGTATTGATCGTCAATCCCTGTGTCCTATGTGTGAGTCCTGTGGTGTCAATGGCAATGAAGACTATGTATCCTGATTCTCCAGTGTTCTCGTCGGTCCTCACTGTAGGCGCAACGTGACAGAAAACCAGACCAAGACAGAAAAGTAAGCGCGCTCCTTCTCCCTATTTTGTTCATTTTAAAAGTCTTTTGTTTTCTTGCCCACCCCCCCCACCCCAACCCCGGTCATGGAAATCGTAAAGAGTCTCATTTCTCCACCTTAGCCCCAGTAGAGATCTCCCCTTCTTCGAGTACGCCTGGGATTTCTGTAGGCTTGCTGCGGCGACGGCATTGGATGACCCCACCATCAATTCTCTGTTCTGTTACAACTACCATCGCCCCATGGACCTCCCAGACACCAAGGGACTATGCTGGAGGGAAGGGATCTACCAGTGTCTGGGGAGTGTCCGGGCCCGAGCCAGAACCAGCCCGCCGTCAAGCCCGCCTACCACGCCTTTCACCACAAACCTAAAGGGGAATTGGAGAAGGCAGTCGGCTCCAGCCCCTGAGGTCGCTCCAGTGCCAGCTCCTCGAAAGCGCCTTGCTGTGCCAGCTCCTCGAAAGCGCCTTGCTGTGCCTGCTCCTACAGAGCACCCTCCAGTGCCAGCTCCGTTCTGTTACAACTACCATCGCCCCATGGACCTCCCAGACACCAAGGGACTATGCTGGAGGGAAGGGATCTACCAGTGTCTGGGGAGTGTCCGGGCCCGAGCCAGAACCAGCCCGCCGTCAAGCCCGCCTACCACGCCTTTCACCACAAACCTAAAGGGGAATTGGAGAAGGCAGTCGGCTCCAGCCCCTGAGGTCGCTCCAGTGCCAGCTCCTCGAAAGCGCCTTGCTGTGCCAGCTCCTCGAAAGCGCCCTGCTGTGCCTGCTCCTACAGAGCACCCTCCAGTGCCAGCTCCTCGTAAGCGCTTCCCAGTCCCCGAATTCAGCCCAGTGAGGGCTCCAGTCCCCGAATTCAGCCCAGTGAGGGCTCCAGTCCCCGAGC